CCCCCCAAAAAAAGGGGGTTTTCCCACCCCCCCCCCCCCCCCCCCCCCCCCCCCCCCCCCGGCTACGGGGCCTGTAACGTTATGCGTGAAATTTTCAGGAAAAAAAGTGATAAGATTGTGATCCATTGGCAAAGAATCAACCTCATCTCTTTCAAAAGAGGTAACGGATGACGGAAGAAAAGAAGGTCAATATGCAGTAGGATTGAGGAAACTCTAAACCTAACAAGACCGACGAGGTATGCGGTATAGGCCTACTCACCGCCCATGTTCGTTACTTTTGCAGCAGCGCCTATCCCCCCACCCCCCAGCCTGTAGCTTTCTTATTTGTTTAATCAAAATTAAATCATGTGGTGACTTCGATCAATATTGTCTCGAGTATTCAAATGAATAAGCTTAGAAATAGACTAATTATTATTCTGTATTTTTCATAATATTTTCAAGCTATTTAACCAATGAGATTACAGTAGGCCCTACATTCCTTTATCATCCCATCAATTGTTCGATTTGATGGTAGGTAATTTCACTAAAAAAAAAAAAAAAAAAAAAAAAAAAAAAAAACTTAGGTTAGTTAATGAATTGCCAAACTAATTGATTTGAATGGATGAGACATTGCTCAAGTCACCATACAAATAAATGTAGGCTAATAACTTAATACCGAAAATCAAAGGTGGGTAAAAAAAGATGCCTGGCCTACAGTAGGCCTACTCTCTGCTTGCTATGCACCTTTTTTTTTTCCACCAGCTCAAAAACTACTGTGGTGGGTGCATGAAAGGCTTGATCTGATCTCATCGGCGGTGACAAGAACACTCAAAAGTGTGGCGTTGTCATAATGACCAGGAACAAACCAATGGACCTGTTACAAATCAACATGCAACAACTTAATGCAACTCGGGCTTTGCATCAGGGCGATAAAAAAAAAAAAAAAAAAAAAAAAAAAAAAAAAAAAAAAACGAAGCGCCATCTTCAGGCAGGTTGTCCTAGAGCGAAACTAAGACTCCGGATAAAAGTGGGCTTTACATTGCATTTACCACTGCACCACTTTGTGTCCGTACACGTTGTCTACTAAAATGCATTAGGAACTATTAGGATTTATTGCTCAGCACATGAATCAAATTGCAGAATCTTCGCTGGAATGGGAGTACCGAAAGGGAGACCTTGCTGTACTCATAGAGACGGTGAGCCTGGACCTATAGTCTTGAGAGAGGGGGTGGGGAGGGGGAGGGGGGTTGCATGAAGACAAGTCCGACTCAGAGGCCTAGCTGTCACCTGTATCAATCCTATCGCAGTTTGAGTTTGACGCTTCAGTTGGGGTTTCAAGAGGAATGTACCTTAAACCACATTGATGAAAATATATATCTACTTCCTCAGAAACCTAAGCACTTAGCAAAAACCGGTCTGTTTTGGCATAGGCATGTGTTTAAATTTGTCAACACTTCATTGCTTATTGATGTGAATGCATTTGCTGTAATCAGTTATTTGAGTGTATGTATAATCCAACAGGGCAGTTATTAGTTCCATATTAATTCTCTAAGCAAACCTAGTAGAATAATTTTGAACTACTAGTAAACGCTAAGGTGCTGGACTTAAGTTTATGTATGAAGCAACACTGGTTTAATGATTTGACATAAAGTAATTGGAGTTACTTTTTTTACAGTACTTAGGTGAAGGATTATAATTTTTCAACTCATGAAATGGATGCCATTCTCTCATTCTCTCTCTCTCTCTCTCTCTCTCTCTCATCTAAATGCAGTAGCAATCTAGAAATAAATATCTGGTTGGAATAAGAGAAAATAAGACAAAACTGTTCCTTGCATATATTAGTAGTTATCAGAGATGGATCGAGATGACATATGTTGCAATGTTTGACACTCAAGTGACTCTACAGCCCCAGAGTTATAAAATGAACTTACTTTTTCCTAGTACTTTACTAGTATGCTTAAAATTTAATCAGATACTTTGCTTCTTTTCAGTTAGAACATGCCATTTCAATTGTGAAGACTTTGCCACAGGAGAAGGGGAAAGAAGCATGGTTGTTGTGAAAGGCCTTTACAGAAAAAATTCTGAATCTCTTACAAGGAGTGTGTAAAGAAGATGCAATGATTGGACCACAAAATGAACTATGCAGAGCCTCCACAGCAAGAATAGAAAGAATGGAAGTGGAATCTGAGATAAATTCACTAGGAATAATGGCAAATAATTCTGGTACTAGTACTTCTTCGGCATCTAGTTTTAAAAGTATAAGTCAGAAAAAGACCGGCCTTGTATGTACTAGTATTAGTACCATGGTTTCGCCAGTCCAAGATCACCTGACTGTGACTGAGAACGATGGCGCTCACAGTATTACAGTTGCTCACTCAGACGAGAGTCATAGAGCTAAAGAGAGTAATAGTAGCACATCTGGGAGAACAAGATATCAGACTAGACATGCATCTAGAAAATTTACTCAAATTAATAGTCATAGTAGTGAACAGCGAGAAGGAGTAGAGAAAGAAATTTTGGGTCTTGAAAAGCAGCCGGCCAATAGATGTGAAGCAGTCATAGGTGACTGTACTTTTGGGGGACATATCCAAGAAAGCTTCGAAGTATTATCCAAAGAAAGAAACAATAAAATTAAAGAAACTGGGGAATTTAAGGCTGAAAGTGATTTACATAAGAGGCAGGACAATTTGAAAGATCTTACAATGGATAAAGATCAACAACTTGTGAAAATATCTGAAGGTTTGGAAGGAGCATGTGATGCAAATTCCAAGAAGAAAACGTGTAAAGAATGTGGAAAGGTTCTCTGCAATACATCTTCATTGAACAGTAGGTGCTCCACAGTTTTATCATTCTTCTGGAACAACTGAATTTATTGTAAAACCTCTACTACCTTATGGGTACTTATTTAAAATTGACATTTTGAAAATAATTGCCAATACACTTAATCTGCTTTCTGAAATTTGAACCAGTAAGCATTATTATGCCCCCTTATTTGTCACCCAGTAAGGAAGCTTAAAGCAATACCTGTGACAACCTTGCTTCCAAACATGTTGTGGAAAATTTGTGATTGTAGAATCCCAGCTGAGAAAGATTGATCCTGCTAGTACAATAACTTCTATTCTGAACATGGCCTTAGTAAAATCTCCAGAGACCAAAAGGGTTATTACAGGACCTCCCGAAACATAACTAATACAGACTTACCACAAAGTATATCACTCAGTGTGAAAAGGACCCATGTTTTAACAATTGAGTGGTCTTAACTACAGAGCTTAATATGTAACAGTTCCTATATATCATATTTCAGTACACATGCGTGTTCACTCAGAGTACAAACCGTACAAGTGTCCCAAGTGCAGCAAGTGCTGGGCTGTGAAGAGTAACTGGAAGCGTCACGTCAGCAAGTGCAGGATGAAACTGGCAGGCGGGGACAGAGGTGGTATGTTCTGTATAGTTATAAATGTTTTTATAACCTATTTTTTAACATACAAATGAATGTTTTAGTCATCAAACAATAGTGAATAATGAACATAAGTGGATAAAAATGCTGCTTAATAGATAAGATGAATCCAATGTCGCGATCTTAATCTAAGATCTTTCACAGGAAACTGATTAATTTCAAAGTGAGTTGCGATATTTGATCTCTTCAGTTTATTTTTTGACTTTTTTCTTGGACAGTGTTTGCCTGGTGTAATCATTTTTTTATTGGAGGATTTGATAGTTATATATACATGCATGTACATCAACAAAATGAATATACCAGGTACTACTGTACATATTGCCTAACATGAAAATTGATTTGGATTTTCAAATTGTTCAAAAAAATCTATTGGTAGATAATGCTAAAGTGAAGTGATCATGTAAAATATTTTTTCTTTCCATTGATAATGTACAGTATATTAAAATCCAGATAAACAATCTATAATTTCCAGACTCTCCAGCTTCAAGCTTCTCGAGCAAAGATGAAAATTGTGAAGAAAGTGTAGATGGCGCTGCACAAGTAGAAGATGATCTTGGACCCGACAAGACCTGCCCAGTTTGTAGCACAGTTTTGAAGAGTCAGACTGCCTTGAGTGGTAGGTTTTTAATCTTTGTAGGTATCAGGTTGATAATAATTTGTAAATGAATATCTCTTAGAGTCTGGCAGCTTTTTTACACATTTTAAAGAGTGTGAATAATTCAAGGAGGACATGCATAAGGGATTTAATTGTGTTTATGATAATGTTACATGCAGATCGATAGATAAAGATTATCATTTTTGTTGATTTAGTAGTTTTTCCTTCTAATGTACATACACTAGTGGGCTTGATATGGTCTTAAAATACAATTTAAGAACACAAATAGTCTTACATGATCTTAAAACATGAGTAAGACCATTTCCAGTCTGACAGTCAATTAAGTTGTCTCCCCTTACACATTCTCCTATTGTGAGCAAAGGTGTCCTCTATTGTGAGGGGAGGTGTCCCCCATTGTGAGGGGAGGGAACTGCTTGACCACTTAAGTAGATGTTAGATCATTTTTGATCTTAAAAGCAGATTCAGTCCATTTTAAGACTACTGCTGTAATGATTAAGATTGTGTAAGATCATTTGTGAACTTAAATTGCACTTTAAGACCAAATCCAGCCCACTAGTGATATAAACTGTTAACCTGTAGTTTATTATGTGATGTTCATGTATTTCAGAATTAACTTGTCTTTCCCCAGATCACATGAAGGTTCATAATGGAGACCCAGCCTTAACCTGTGACCTGTGTGGCCAAAGTTTTCATTTCAAATCCCATCTTTCTAGCCACATAAAAGCCTGCAGGAGTAAGCATAATTTTTATTTTAAATTTTTTCACCATCCGAGGTTTTTTTACAATCCAACATTAAGTTTCGGATTTGAACATTTTGGCTGGTCTACTGAGAATACAGGTGAAAATATTCTTAAACTTGTTACATTTTCTGTGCAGTAGATGTTGGATCACTCTGTATTATGTCCTGGATAGATGGAGCCACAAGCACCCTCTTTGTTAAGGCTCATAATTAGTTTCCACCTGTATTCTCAGTGGAAGTCTCAAATGGAAGGATGCAACAACATTAACAAGACTGAAATGTAAACCAGTAATAGGACTAAAATGTCATTTACAGGCTTGTAGACAGCAATTCAAAAAGGGGATTCCTTTTCTGAAAAAGTGGACTTTTAACCATGAAAGCCTTTTGTACCAGAGTTACCCTGAGTGTCAGAGCAACGTAAAAAATTAGCTTGTAAATATTAAATATACCTTGGAGTCATTTTTACTAGCTCTGAAGACCAGCGGCCATGTTAGGCTTCCGTCAGTCAAATAGAACTGCTCCGCAGTGAAACTGCAGTTGAATGTCATTAGACCAAAATGAAACTTAAAACAAATTTAATTCTGCTTTATTTAATTTTATTTACTGTATTTAAAGAATAAATGAAAAAATGAATAATATTCTTCGAAAAGAAAAGATATATCCAATGTTTTTGTATTTTTTGCTTATCAAAGAACATTTAGTCCTGAGATATACACGTGCACAATACACGTGCTTGCCATGTGCCAAATTTGACAGCTACACTGTATGCCTGATACCACTATAAGGGCTACACAAAAATCAGTTTTTACAGCAGAATGTTGCTTGTATTGTGGCACTGACCTTCGACTGCAAGATATTTTCAATTCAAACTTCTAACTCCGCGTCAGGCACTTTAATTGCTTCTTGTCTCGTGTGCTCGAGATAACTTCAGCGCAAGGCGGGAAAGGCAGCTCCAGGCGGCCAAACCTGTGACGTACGAGACTTTTGACTTCCAAATATGGATCCAAGCAGACACAGCTGTGACGTGTGACTTCCAAATATGGAAGCGCCCCAGGCAGAATTTTGAAGAAGAACGTCCCCGAGTTGATTGCCGCTGTTCGCTAGAGCCTGGTATTGCTAATATGGGTTATATATGAAATCAAGATCGAGCTGGCAATACCGGAATCTAGAACCTAGGGTAACCAGAGTAGACCTTTCCCAGAAAAAAAGGTGGGTTTTTTAAACCCCCCATCCCCCCTGGTTATGGGCCTGATGTACATCGATAAATGACTAGATATGATATTTTGAACACTTTTCAATCCAGATGCCCAAGCAGCCGAGGCCCAGGGGAAACCCAAATGTCACCTGTGTGGAAAATACCTGTCACATAGGTCAGCTCTCAGTGGTGAGTGTCAAAGAATGCTAGTAAATGCTCATCCCCTCTCACAGTGCCTGTTGGAAGCTAACTTGTTAAGGGAACAAACTTGAGAGGGATAAGGGGGCAAAAAATCTCTTCTTTGTTTGTTTAGATGCAGACATGTATGTTGGTCTTCCATCTGCCTGCCACATTTTCCCTTTATCGGCATGCTTTGAAATGTTGATGTTAACAACTCTGATATTTTTAGTCGTGGTTGGTGGCCCAGAAAAATAACCTTTCTTTCTTTGATCTTGCTCAATAATTCATGCTCAAGTCCAAATTCCTCAAGAACAATGGTTCACTCCTTTTTCTGGCCATGAGGTGCATAACATTCTTCGATAAATCCACCTAAAAATATTCTATATTACTGACGGTACTACAGTTTATTCGGTACACTTGTAAGTATTTAATTTTTTATTTTTGTCATTGATTACATTTGATTAATTCTACAACAGTGTGTAATAATTATTATATCTCCATAGTGCACATGAAGTCCCATGCTGGCATCAAATCTCACAAGTGCGTAGGCTGCTACAGGAGCTTCCTTGTTCGTAGCAACATGTGCAAACACCGCAGGCAGTGCATGGGCGAGGAAGAAGCAAACAAGGAGCAGGAAAGAGAGAAAGAAGAAAAGATGAATAAAGCACCTAACATGCCAAGAGTGAAGCGGAGCACTTCCATTCAGTGCAAAGAATGTGGCAAGGTTTTCTCAGGGACAGGGTCACTGTATTGTGAGTGTGTTTTTAATTCATTTGTTACACTTTTAGTTAATTTGTTACACTTTTAGCCCTTTTAGTGGTGAGATTATAGTTGCTTTGTAAGGTCATTGTTAAGACTCTTCAAATCCCATATGCAGTCACAGTTAATGTTATTAAATCTATTTATAAATAAGACAATTATTGAAAAGTGTATTGTATTTGGGAATATTGAATGTCATTTACACACTGCGACAGAATAATATAATTTCAAAAACGCCCAGTTTGCAATACCATCATTCACTGTCAAAATATGGGTGTTGTGTGTTCTGATTTGTTCTTAAGTGATCATTTCAAGGCATTTGGGGATGAGGAAAGCAAGAAATTGGCCTTTGAATGCAATGTTCAACAATGAAAATTTGGCCTTAAAATGTATAAATTTATGCTCAGCACACACACACACACACACACACACACACACACACTTATGAATATTTTGTCTTGTAGTGCACATGAGACAACACACTGGTGAGAGACCATTTCGATGTTCAGTATGTAACAAAGACTTCAGTATCAAGTCCAACATGCTCCGTCATGAGAGGACCCACACTGGTAGCAAGCCATACGAATGCCCGGAGTGCCATCAGTGCTTCACAGAGAATGGCAGTTTGAAGATACACATGAGGAAACACACAGGAGATAGGCCTTTTGTGTGAGTCTCTCTCTCTCTCTCTCTCTCTCTCTCTCTCTCTCATAGTGAACAAATTCGCCCCAATATGCAATATGTAATCAGCAGTATGACTACTCTGACACTTATATTGGTTTTTAAGGTGAACCATGAAACGTGTTTCATAATAAAAGTTATAATGGCATATCTTACAGTGAAATTTTGAAAAGTGTCTCATGGGTTCTAGTTCTGAGTATCATTTTTTGGTGTTAAAAATCATAAAGCTTGTATATATAGACACTCTGAAAGTAAAACAATTTGCCCCTATTAAAAGATGAAGGGTATTTTTACAAATAAAGCTGCAAGGTTGCCTTAAATATTTCAAACTTAAAATTGCGACATTGTCTGCTATAATAAACAAATGCAGCTGAAATTAATTTATTTTTAATCATTAATAAATTTTATTTAATTATCAGATGCACACTATGTGGCAAGGCATTTATACAGTCAGGCAGCCTAAAGAGTCACCTTGCCACCCATGTTAACCAGAAGAATCACCTTTGTGACTGGTGTGGGAAAGCCTTTGCACAGAAAACACACCTGCAGGCGCACGTGCGTCGCCATAAAAATATACGCAATTACAAGTGTGAGGAGTGTCCTATGAAGTTTGTTAATAAAGGTAACTTAAAGGTGCTTCTCATGTCAGATATTTAATTTTGTTTAATATGGGACATTGTATTGTTATGATTTATTGTATTGTTAGTGATGGTAGCCACACCCTAAACTTCAAATTTAAGGATTGTACGTCGAGAAACACTGTTACGATTATTGTTATTTTTTTAAGTATGGAATTTGATGTTAATTTTTATGGGCATGTTACAGCTTCATTGACTTTTTCCTTGTTGCAGGTGACTTAAATAGACACCAGAAAAAACATACAGGGGAAAGGCCTTTCTTGTGTACATTTTGTCCAAAGACGTTTACTCGCCTTCATTATCTCAAAGAGCACATGCACATTCACACTGGAGAGAAGCCATTTGGCTGTAAAATATGTGGCGCCAAGTTTTCTGACAGGTCGTCTGCTCTGAAACATGAGAAAAAGCATGACAACAGAGAACCTCAACAGAGTGAGTTTAATATTAATTTTGTGGTTTTATAATAACATAAAGTATTGAAGGAAATTTAAAATACATTGTGTGTTACAGATTTTCTTTGTAAGTAACATACTATTATTGAAGTGAAGTGACTGTTACATGTATGACCTTTATTTTTTAGGTCTCCGCTGCCTTTTATTGTCACAATTCCCAACAGGGGGCACTCTAGGTCAGGCCCAAGACAGTCCACAGCCATCAGTGACTTTTGTTATTAAGGATGAAATGGGTAAATGAAGTCCTTTATACACAGGAAGTAACAAATTCAGAGAACATTTTAAAAGTGACAGATAAAAAAGAATATGTGAAATTGCAATGTATTTATTTTTGTTTCTCAATGTTCATGTGTACAGTTGCATAAAAATTATTTAGTTTCAGAATCAACCTTAATGTTATTTTTTTAACTGAATGAAAAAAAATTGTAAAACACTGGTTTTGCAACACATAATCAAACATTCAGTCAGTTTTTGGGGTCTGTTTTCTGTAAATCCAAATTTTTCGCCATTTTCAAATAGTTGTGAAAAATAACATTATTCTACATTTAAGCATCCTCCACCAATCACCAGCAGTTCATCTCCATGCTTCAAACACGGAATCCAGTTGATGTTATACAAACAGTGACTACATCTGCCACACCACACACAGAGGAATATGTGAACAGCGCTGTTGATACCATTGGCCACACAGGGGCGCTGATGTCAGCCATGACAGGACCAGATCCAGGTCATGAGATTCCTGAACCGGCTACCATGGTGACTTTGTCCTCTGAGGATTTGTACACAAATTGAGCCATGGAGTGTTTTTTCTTTGTTATAGGTGACTTAAATAAACAGCAGAAAAAAAACAGGGGAAAGGCCTTTCTAGTGTACATTTTGTCCAAAGATGTTTTCTCGCCTTCACTATCCCAAAGAGCACATGCACGTTCACACAGGAGAGAGCCGTTTGGCTGTAAAATATGTGGTGTCAAGTATTCTGACAGGTTGTCTGTCTCTGAAACATGAAGAAACATGACCACAGTTTGTACACTAAATGAGCAGCGTATTTTGTTTCTGTTGATCAGTATTATTTTTAGACTTGGACACGAAAAAGTGTTGGCAGAGAGTGTCACTGCTTATCTTTCTTAATGACAGTGTTTATAGGATCAATGTTTGTCTTACTGGACGTTGTATAATATAGATTCTGAATCGGAAGAAACATCTGTGCAATACATGTTCTCATTGTTATAGTACCGTAATTATTTCATAGCAAATTTTTTAGTGTTAAATTATATTAATTTGGATTTTCAAATTGTTATATAGATCTATTCTGTGTACAAAGTACTGGAGAGTGCATTGTTTTCCTATTCTTTAACATCAGCTGTGAACTTGTTCTTCTTCTTATTTACTAAATTAACGGAGAAAACTTCTCACTTAAAGAAGAGATTCTCATGATGAAATTATGCATTGCACTTGCAATTGGCCCAATAAAATGTAAAGGTGGTATGATAGTAATTGTTTTTTCAAACACAGTAAATTTCTACTCAATTAACCTAAGAAAACTAGAGAAACAATTTTTTTTGTGGAAAATAGTCGACTTGTGTTGAAATTATTTGAATAATTACCATATAAGATAAACGTTAATAACGACTAGAAAAAAATGGCAAACTTCCATTTAATATTGGGACAAAACATGTCTAGATAATAATAAAAATATTTGAGCCTAAAATCCAAATTTGTTTATTAGACTTTACAATGTAACATGAATCAATGATAAAAAAATGGAACATGAAAGAAAAGAGAAGTGATTAAAACATGAACATTTATTGAGCAGATAATGTTGAAATTTTAATTAAAAAATGTAACCTCATTACACACTTTAAAAAGTTGTTTGTAAAAATTATATAAATACCTTTTAAAGTCTCGAGTTTCCTTTAAGAAAGTTGCTGGGGAGTTTTTCCTACGTAGTAAATGGGTGTAAACTCCATTCTCTAGGTGCAGCGACTTATTTTAAATCATCGGTCGGTCCTCACGTAGTTAATATGATCTCTAACTTTGTTTTATCAACCCACTGCCAAGGCACGATGCAAGTTGACACAGTTTATCAACGTTATGGCCTCTAGGTCATTGCAGTATCAGGCTTGTGGTCTTGGGGCTTGTGTGCAGTAATTTGGGAAATATACTTAAGAAAAGTGAACATTCTGACCTCCTTAGTTGAGAAATAAAACCTTTATCAAACTTCTTTTCCGTGTGGGCCTTTTCAGGCTTAAAAGGTGGTTCGTTCGAACGCCCACTCCCCCACGCATCCAGAACTGTAGTGCTTTCAGTCATATTGCATGCCTGTCACAGGATGTTTTAATTTTTCACCTTACGTGGAGATGAATTACATCAGATTTAAAAAGAAAATTAATAAAAAAGAAGTCATTTTATTTTTCATATCCAGCATGTCTCGTATATACTATTATAGCACCTTGTCCGACTGCTGTATCATTTTCTATATAGTATGTTCACTAATATCTATATGCTTGTTTGCTATTATCTATTTGATTAATTTATCAATACGTGGATGGTAACAAGTGGTATATGTGTATTTAATGATTAACACTACTTGGACTGCTAAGATTAATTTTAAAGATTTATTGTACTGCTTCATTGTTTAGATTAACTTGTTTAATACATTCACAGCACAAGGACAAATAAAAACGATTACCCGTATCCAGGGGGTACTCCTCATACATTTATCCGTCCTCCATCAGTAATTTATCAATCAAAACGTTATGATTCATGCCTATCGCTTGGCGTTTACTTTCGTTGACCTGGTGATTATCTGTTTACTTGATTTAATATATCGATGACACAGCTCCCGTTCTTCAATCACTTAAGGACCCTATGCATGCTCAATTGAAAGTCACGAAATAGACGCTGAGAAGATTTACGCGAAATAGTAAGTATTTTATTCCTTTTTTTTCTTGAAAAAAATGGAACGAATCAGCTTACTGCAGCGTGGGCGTGCAGTTTGTAACCGATGAAGTCCAATGTGAATAAGATGGCATTCCGAACTGTGAACTAGCTAGTCCAAGGGTCAAATATGGCCATCCTACTTGAATACTTCCCCACGGGGAATCTATTCAGTGTCTATTAGCGGATGAGACCTCAAGCTTTTTAGTAAGTCGTCATATTTGACCCGTGGGCTAGTTATTCTATGTTTTGAATGCGGCCTTTAACGCGCTTTAACACCACAGTGTCACTAATGCATCGTCATGTACATGCATATTATCCTCATCGTGTCGAAGGGAAAACTGCAATCTGTCATCTATGGCGTGATATTTGCTGGGACACACACAAATATGAAATATGGATAATCTAGTGGTCCCCATCTTCGTTTACAGAAAAAATAGTCATACAATGTTGCAAAATTTACAAAAACATTTCAGCATAGCATGCAATATAATGGGGGTAGGAGTAAACTTAATATACAAAATTCCTTTGTTAAAAGAGTGTTTCAAACATAAAAATTGCATTTACAGTTTAAAGGCCCTGTCAGTGCAAAAAGGGAAAACAGACCCAAACTTTCTCAATTCTTACACAATTTGAATAAAATTAAAAGTAAAATTAAAATAAAAATTATACTTAACGTGCCGACTACTGGCCGATCGTTGAGTATTCATTCTAGAACCAAAGCGATGCTTGTGCCTCCTTTCTGCGACCACGGCGATGTATTGTGCGTTCTCTCTGCGTCCCTTGAGCGACCTTGCAGCGTCCATCCTTAATGACGTTCTCTCTGCGATTGTTTTGAACATGCTTAGAACGTTGCAGCGACCATGGCGTCATCGGCGATGCTTGAACGTTCTGTGTGCGACCTTGGCGATCACCGTGTGTTCTTTGAGCGCCCAACGGCGTCGTGGCCAGTTTTATGGTCGAACAAAGGACGCAGAAAGGACGCCGTCCAGTGTAAAGGGGGTTTAATTGTGCAATTTCGGCATTACCTTCACCTTGTCTTGGTGGTCAACAAGAACTTTTTGAATGAATGTTAGTGTTGCACTTATGTTTGTAGGATAAACTAGATTAAAAACTAAATATGTCACCAATCAGACAGTGTCACCCTGAATTATATTATTAGGCTTCGTTCACATGCAATGTCTATTTTCTATTTTCTATTTTCGGTATGTCTTATGATCACGGTCTGTGCACTGAATATCCCGCGGCGTAATTACTGGCAGCGCGAGTCAGTTACTATAAGTTACTATAAGTAACTGGCTCGCGCTGCCAGTAATTACGCGGCGGGATATTCAGTGCACAGACCGTGATCATAAGACATACCGAAAATAGAAAATAGAAAATAGACATTGCATGTGAACGAAGCCTAAGGCTCCCATTGACCACATGTCTAGCCCTAACAGAGTAGGTGGCCTCCATGAAGTTCTCAGAATATGTAATAACTGGAGATGCCAGTGGCTCCTCTTCAAATACTGTTTCCTCTTTAACCAGAAGATGGTAATGCTCTTTAACTGATAAGGTATACACAAAAGGCCTACACACCTGGTCGCATCTGGAAAATATCAAAGAGAATAAATCTGATGAAATTATGTTGTTTTAACGTTGAAACAAGGTTGAACCATAATGTTGATAATACGTTGGATAAACATTGGATTTGAAAGTTGACTCAACGTCAGATAACAACATTGTATCAACCCCAGTTGTTAGACAGCGTTATTGCATGAAAAGACATTAAAATGACCTGAAACGTTTTATTTTTGGTACAAAACACAGGTACACAATTATTATAACGTACACTGTAAAAACATCCAAGTGCCTGCTTTGTATGATTTTTTCAACGCATTTAGCTCCAAAGAATGTTTTGCACCTAAGCATGGTACACCCTTTTAGCCTGGATGTGTTTAGCAGTAGGGCATGTTTGATGACTAAATATATATAGGGTATATATGTATGGCCTTTAAGTCAAAATTTCCAAGGTTTGGATTAATATATATAGTTATTTTAAGATATATAAATATATAACAAAGTCACAGTCACCTCAACCTGTCTATCTAGAACAGGGTACCGAGAACTGTCAACTTTATTAACTTCACTCCATCACATTTACAACAAAAAATGTTAGTTGACCTTGCAAGGAATTCAGTTTATTGGAATGTATTTCTGAATAACAAGTTAAGAAAATGCACTAGTTCACTAAAGACACAAAACAACTGTCACTTTTACTTTAAAACACTTTTTATGTACAGACACAGATGTGTCTGTACATATAGCCATCATCTGCGTCTGTCGTCGCCGTCGTCGCCGTCGTCGCCGTGCACTTTTACCGATAACACGATAAGTGGAAAACCATTTTACCTTTTGACTTGAAACTTGCAGAACTGATGAATATTCATAATACGCAGGTCAAGTTCGAAAATCAGCATGATCGGGTCACTTTTAGGGAATTTATGCTGTTTTTTCACTTTTTTCAGCATATATGCAGCACCGATAACACGATAAGTGGAAAACCATTTTACCTTTTGACTTGAAACTTACAGAACTGATGAATATTCATAATACGCAGGTCAAGTTCGAAAATCAGCATGATCGGGTCACTTTTAGGGAATTTATGCTGTTTTTTCACTTTTTTCAGCATATATGCAGCACCGATAACACGATAAGTGGAAAACCATTTTACCTTTTGACTTGAAACTTACAGAACTGATGAATATTCATAATACGCAGGTCAAGTTCGAAAATCAGCATGATCGGGTCACTTTTAGGGAATTTATGCTGTTTTTTCACTTTTTTCAGCATATATGCAGCACCGATAACACGATAAGTGGAAAACCATTTTACCTTTTGACTTGAAACTTACAGAACTGATGAATATTCATAATACGCAGGTCAAGTTCGAAAATCAGCATGATCGGGTCACTTTTAGGGAATTTATGCTGTTTTTTCACTTTTTTCAGCATATATGCAGCACCGATAACACGATAAGTGGAAAACCATTTTACCTTTTGACTTGAAACTTACAGAACTGATGAATATTCATAATACGCAGGTCAAGTTCGAAAATCAGCATGATCGGGTCACTTTTAGGGAATTTATGCTGTTTTTTCACTTTTTTCAGCATATATGCAGCACCGATAACACGATAAGTGGAAAACCATTTTACCTTTTGACTTGAAACTTACAGAACTGATGAATATTCATAATACGCAGGTCAAGTTCGAAAATCAGCATGATCGGGTCACTTTTAGGGAATTTATGCTGTTTTTTCACTTTTTTCAGCATATATGCAGCACCGATAACACGATAAGTGGAAAACCATTTTACCTTTTGACTTGAAACTTACAGAACTGATGAATATTCATAAT